AAACAGGAGCCAGCAATTTAAAATTCCCCGATCGCTCGAGCTCCGCAAACACTTGTAAAGAAGTCTGGCATATTCTGGATATTCCTCCGAGACCGAAGATCGGACATTCCTTTGGGGAAAGCTGCTTCTTGGTGTGCCGTACAAAGACAATAAACCCCTTCTCTTCATCCCTGTCTCATTCACTTTGCTGAGGAAGGATAAGGGGGTTGCTGAATGAAGCTTCCTTTACGCACTAAGGTGCACCCTCACGTTTTCCTAACTCTCCTCCCAAAGCCCCGAGCCTGGAGACAGGCAGTGATTCTCGGCTCTGCGCCTCAGGAACGCCAGGTTCTCTCTACCGATCAGCCTCAGGGAGACCAGGCCTGCGAGGGACAATCATAGGTCCTTGGAGGCTAGGAGCGCCTGAAAATCGATTCTCTGACATGCCATCGACAGGAATGGAACGGGGTAGAAGGGCGAATTGTCTTCCCATATTCCTGGTGAGAAAAAGAGGTAATGGAAAATGAGGGATGGATAACTCGAGCATGGGATAGGGACTCAGGGAACAAAGAGACTGGAGGAAGATGAGACAGCCACACCAACGCAGACTCACTCCAAAGAGCTCTCCGACTTTACGCAAGTCGCCCACATCTGAACAGCGCTGTTCCCCTTACGCCACTAGCTTGGCCTCAGAGCCTTCGCGAATACGGCTTTGCGCACTGCGGCGGGGCTGCGCCTCAACCGAGCTTAGTCCTTTGGCTCCTCCCCAGCGCTTTGCGCGGATTGGTGGCAGACAGCATCCAGACTAGTGATTGGATGATGAAGGAGCCATTCGGGGCGGCTCTGGTGGGTTCGGCTGCTCCAGAGTGATAGTTCGGCTTCAGACACGCCTCAGCGCCAGCAACGAGTCGGAGCTCTATGGAGGTGGCGGCTGGTACCGGGTGGTGGCTGCAGCAGCGATTCCTCTGAACTGAGAGTTTCAAGCCGTCCCCGACTCCTTCCTTCCCCTTCCCTCCCCCTTTTTTGTTTTCCGTTCCCCTTCCCTTTCCCTTCCCCGTCCCCGACGACCGGATCCTGAGGAGGCAGCTGCTTTGGCAGCTGCTGAGTTCTCGGTGAAGGTGAGTGGAGACGCTGCCGCCGCCGCCAAGTAAAGCGCTCTAAAATGGCCGCCGTCCCCTGGCTGCTTGTTCTTGAGTGTTACAAAATGGCGGCCGCAGGCGGCGCCGGGTGGGGCGCACCTTCTTAGCGGGTTTTCCGCGCTTCAGGCACCGGGAAGCCCTCGGCCTTTGTTCTCCATTCCTGTTGCTGGTGGAGTAGAAGGAAGAGCGCGGTCTTCGTCCGGTCACGGCCGTGGGCTGTCGGGCCGACAGGGCCTGGGCGCGCCGAGGCGCGGGTATACGGGGACGCGGCGTAAGGGCCGCGCGCGTGCTGGCGGCGAGGGCGCGGGGCAGCGGCGCACGCGGCGGCGAGGGCTCGGCCGTTGGCGCGGGACCAGCCGAGGCGCAGGAGTCCGGGAGCCCAGCCGCGGGCGGAAGGAGGTAGACGCCGCGGCCGCCCGGCAGGTCCCCAAGGCGAGAAGGTGGAGAGGGGGTGGCTGTTCCCTTTGTCCGCCGAGCCGGGCAGGCAGGGGCGGCTGTCAGGCCCGGAAGGATTGACGGCGGCGGCCGGTGGGCAGGAGGCCACCTTCCTGTCCGGAGAACAAAGAGCGGCGGGGGCGGCCGCGGCGCCTCCCCCGGCGAAAGGAGCGCCTCCTGGGGCCGGGAGACAGGCGCTTCCTGGGTGGGAGGGTTTTGGGCTCTTTGTTCCCAGGAAGGGAGCGTGGGGCGGAGGTGCCTGCTGCCATGTTGGGGCCCCGGCAGTCCTCCCGCCTGGGCCGGCCCGGCGCTCCGGGCCCCTTCATGCGTCCTCTCCTGAGGAGCTTCGGGGGCGCCCAGGAGATTGGCTGCTGAAGGAACTGCCAAGCAGTCTTCGGTGCGCAGCTGACCCAGTCTCCGGGGCTCTGGGGTGGAAAAATGACCATATTTCCCATATCCTGTTTCTGGCATGGCTATTGATCGGAATGCTGGGCTCAGGAAGCAGACTGTGCCTTTTGTTAAAAACACATTGGGGAATGACCTTAATCAGGTTGGCTCGATGAAGGCTATCCTTGGTGACAAGGAAATCTTCGGTGGCAACCCAAAATGAAATATAATTGCCTTTTGTGTTTTGAGTGCAGGTCTTCCTAGACCTGCAATGCAGTGAGGGGTACGAAAGATCAACCACCTGCAGTGCCAGGGTCTGAATTCAGTGATACTTGAATGAACATTTAATGATGTGTATCCTAGCAGTGTCTAATTTTGGTGCTCTTTTTTTCATTCTAGGTTTTTCATTTCTCCCTTCCCTTCCCCTCCCCACCCCATCCATTAATATTATTCTTTTGAAGATTCTTCGTTGTCAAGCCGCCAAAGTGGAGAGTGCGATTGCAGAAGGGGGTGCTTCTCGTTTCAGGTATGTTTGAGGATCATTTTGAAAAGACCAAGCACAAAACCAAGAGTCACTACACCAAATAATTTTGACTTAATGTGCTGCATTTTTTGCTTTATAATTTGCCAAGTCCTTGAATTTTTACTGAACATCATCTATGTGAAGAATAAATGTCATGAAATCAGTTCCTTTGACTTCCATTAGTCTTAAATTTAGTCTTCATCTGTGGAGTAGTTTATAAAGTTTAAAACACCCTTTTGAGTGAGACCAAATTGAGGTATAGTTTCTGTTTTTTAATTTTTTTATTATTATTTTAATTAGTGCTTCTTCGGACGGAGGAGGAAGTAGGGGTGGACCTCAGCACTATCCCAAGACTGCTGGCAACAGGTATGGTGAATGTGTAAAAACAAACACATTTTCGTAAATTGCACATTTAGACTAAAAGCCTTTCCCATGCATAACAGTTTGATGTTACGGGTCTTGGTTCTGCCCAGTTATTCCAAGTTTTGAATATCAGCTCTTGGCATCTCCTAAGCCTGTCATATGTTGGTTGCCCGGTCCTCAAACTTTTTTTTAATTCTTGTTCTTACTTACATTATTTATAAAATAAAGTGGTATGCACGAACTATGGTCATAGTTTTAAGGAATAGTCTAGAGAATACTGGTTTAATCGTTAGCGTTACCTGGGAACTAAGTAACAAAGCTTACTAATCAGAAACTCTGGGGATAGACACAGCATTCATTCTGTTACAGAAAAACTTTCAGGTGGTTCTGATACAATTTAAGAGTTTAAGAACTGTTGGTTTCCAGAGTTGCTAAGTTTTGAGAAAAGTTTGGGATATGTAAGCTTTTTTCTATTTAGAAGATTCTGTTTAATATTTAGTATGATTGGTATGTGGGTGGATATCATATTTTCATTATTCCTAATGAAAGATTTACATTTTATTAATTAGCGAGTTCCTGGGGAAAACCCCAGGGCAAAACGCTCAGAAATGGATTCCTGCACGAAGCACTAGACGAGATGACAACTCCGCAGCAAACAACTCCGCAAACGAAAAAGAACGACATGATGCAATCTTCAGGAAAGTAAGAGGGTAAGTGTGTTTTATCCTTTTACTAAAAGGAAGAAAGAACTGGATTCATTGTGCTTCTCTCGTGTGTATTGCTACTGAGTCTAAACAAAGAATTTCAGAAGGCAATGTTCATGTCCTAAAGTAGTGTACATTTTAATGAAAGACACTGCTGATAGCTTTTTTAAAAAACAACTGAAAAGTAGTGAATTAATGTTTTGGCGTCTACACTTGTTTTCAGCTTTTGGGTTAAAATTTTTGCATTTCTTTCATTTTCCATGTAATTCAGTGAAGCAGGTCACCTAATGATCTTATGTTCTGGTTTCACCTTGACAGTAAGGAGGCTTTTGTGCCATGGACTTAAGTGAGAAAGGTTAAACAGCTAGAGACACCCCCACCCTACCCCTATCCCCAATCTATTAAACATGCTTATTCTGATCAGGAAGCTTGTTTCAACATCCCTTTGGCTGGGTGTATAAAAAGAAATGTGATATTAAAGGGAGATGTTAGAAAAGTATTCAATGTAAAGTAAAAGATACTTTTTTAACTCAATAATGCTGACACTTAATTTCTTTCTCACCCCAGCATACTAAATAAGCTTACTCCTGAGAAGTTTGACAAGCTATGCCTTGAGCTCCTCAATGTGGGTGTAGAGTCTAAACTCATCCTTAAAGGGGTCATACTGCTGGTAAGTATTAACTGAAAATATTTTAAGTCTTTTGGGTTTTAATACTTAACGCCCTCAAGTGTGGTGGTGGTGGTTGTTAAAAGTGCCATGGAATCTGTACCAACTCAGCCACCTTGTATACGGTTCTGAGGAGCAGCTGGTTAGCTTGAACTGCTGACCAGTCCAGCGCATTCACCTGTTGCGCTGCTCCAGAACTCCATAGCGTGGTTAGAAATTTCTTATTGAAATGCTAATGGTGATAAAAATAGAATCACTATAAGGAGCTCTGGTAGCGTAGTGGTTACGAATCGGGCTGCGAACCTTAAGGTCAGTGGTTTGAAACTACCAGCTGCTCCGCGGGAGAAAGATGAGGCTTTCTACTCCCGTAAGGATTTACACCCTTGGAAACCCTGTACAGGGTCGCTATGGGTCGGAACTGACTCGAAGGCATTTAACAACAACTCAATGTTAAGAGCATGGTGACTCAGTGGATAAGCACTGGACTGCGAACCACAAGGTTGGTGGTTAGAGCCTAACAGTTAACTCTACCGTAGAAAAATGGCTTTTGCTTCCACAAAGACTTACAACATCCAAAACTACAGGGTTGCTGAGTTGAAATAACTCCATGACACTTAGCAACAATTCAATATTATTAGACTTATAGGGTGGATTTTAAATTATTCTTCATATGCATGAAGAGTTAAACAGATTATTAGACCATAGGGACTTTTTTCCCCCTCTTGTTGAAAACATTTTGATCTTGGAAATAAATTTTAATGGTATTTTATAAGACTTCAGAGTCTTGTTTACAATTGTAATAGCGAAGGTATTTTCAGTTCCTGAGGGAAGGGGTGTGGCTAACATGACGTCTCTATTTGGGTTTTTTTATATTAAAGTAGTTAAAATTTAAGTATTTTTATTTTTTCCAGAAGGCTAAAACAGTATACACGAATTGTTTAATGTTCACGGAAAACCTAGAGTATTCTCATTCTCGAATTGTAGATGAGGTGTAAAGAAGTTGTGAAGGAGAGAGTCTCAAAAATACATATTTAATACTTGAAAAATATTTCTGTAGATTGTGGACAAAGCCCTAGAAGAGCCAAAGTATAGCTCACTGTATGCTCAGCTATGTCTGCGATTGGCAGAAGATGCACCAAACTTTGATGGCCCAGCAGCAGAGGGTCAACCAGGACAGAAGCAAAGCACAGTAAGTGATAAGTGGGTGTTTACTTAATTTTAAAATTGATATGAAAGATTTAATTAAAGCTCCCAAATGTCTTTTGTGTTTCTGGTAGACATTCAGACGCCTCTTAATTTCAAAATTACAAGATGAATTTGAAAACCGAACCAGAAATGTTGACGGTAAGAATTTATATTTGACAAAACTAGTATAATAAAGACAACCATGGACTCACACATATGAAGATTGAACAGGACCAGGCTGTTTCATTTATTTATGTGTAGGGTCACCGTCAGTCTCAGCTGACTCAGTGGCAGCTAGTAACAAATGTGGTGTTTTGAGATAAAGCACTGGATCACAAGGTCTGTTTGAACCACAATGTTAGCAGTTCAAACTCACCAGTTGCGCCCTTGGAACCCTATACAGAGTCACTATGAGTCAGAAGCAACTCAAAGGCACATAACAAAGTATTTTTGCTTATTTCTAAATGTTGACCTATTATTTTTTTCCCCAGTCTATGATAAGCGTGAAAATCCTCTCCTCCCCGAGGAGGAGGAACAGAGAGCCATTGCTAAGATCAAGATGTTGGGGAACATCAAATTCATTGGAGAGCTTGGCAAGCTTGATCTTATTCATGAATCTATCCTTCATAAGTGCATCAAAACAGTAAGTACAACTAAGAATTTGGGCTTAATTTAATGTCACTTGATACATCATTATTTGAGTAAATTAAAATTGCTGTGTACTATTTGAGAGCACTGGTAGCATAGTGGTTACGAATCAGGCTGTGAACCGCAAGGTCAGCAGTTCAAAACTACCAGCTGTTCCGCGGGAGAAAGATGAGGCTTTCTACTCCTGTAAAGATATACAGCCTTAGAAACCCTGTTCAGGGTCACTATGGGTCGGAACCGACTCGATGGCACTTAACAATAAATGTACTATTTGAGAGAGGGGGGATTAGGGTTAATTAGTTTATATATATACGGCCAGTGTATCTGGCACTTAGGAAAAATGGTTTAAATGTTGTAAAATAGGAACTATAAAGCGTCATGCAACATTTCGGGTAAGATGGCTGGAAAACTTAAGTCAGCATGTGATTTAAAATTTTTTTTATTTGGTAGCTTTTGGAAAAGAAGAAGAGAGTCCAACTCAAAGATATGGGAGAGGATTTGGAGTGCCTCTGTCAGATAATGAGGACAGTGGGACCTAGATTAGATCATGAACGAGCTAAGGTGTGTATATTGCTGCTAATGTTGTCTTTTGCCTAAGTATTTTCCTGATTTTCATAACATTTAGGGTATTGTCATAGTCATTAACCTTGTTATAATCTAGAAGTTTGTCTAGCGTGTTTTTGCTTTAGTGATTTCTTCCTGTCTTTTTCTCCTTTATCAGTCCTTAATGGATCAGTACTTTGCCCGAATGTGCTCCTTGATGTTAAGTAAGGAATTGCCAGCGAGGATTCGTTTCCTGCTGCAGGTGAAACTGGTTTCTTAATTAAAATTTGTTAATGCTTACTTAAAGAAAATTAGAATAAAACTTAAAACTCTTCTTAAATTACAGGATACCGTAGAGTTGCGAGAACATCATTGGGTTCCTCGCAAGGCTTTTCTTGACAATGGACCAAAGACGATCAATCAAATCCGTCAAGATGCAGTAAAAGTAAGATTTTTTTCAAGTGAATTTTTAAGTATGTTTACACCAACCAGTACGATGACCCTGCTAGCACTTCTACCCAAATATTTGAGGATATCTCTTATTGGTGGTGTTTAATGTTGTAATATATATCCTTTTGGCAAGGTGCTGTTTACAGAAGTTAACTTAACTAGCACTCTGACCTTCTGGAAGTTTTTCTTTAGTTTTCTTAATATAAGAAGTCTTAGTTAAAAGTACAACAGTGTTTAAGAACAAAAGCACTTACTTAATTTATTTCTAAAGGATCTAGGGGTGTTTATTCCTGCTCCTATGGCTCAAGGGATGAGAAGTGACTTCTTTCTGGAGGGACCGTTCATGCCACCCAGGATGAAAATGGATAGGGACCCACTTGGAGGACTTGCTGATATGTTTGGACAAATGCCAGGTGATCATAAGACTGGTTTGGTTAAATAAAATAGGAAATCAGTTAAACACTATAATAGGGTTTTAAGTGGTGTTCATATGTGTTTTAAGGTAGCGGAATTGGTACCGGTCCAGGAGTTATCCAGGATAGATTTTCACCCACCATGGGGCGACATCGTTCAAATCAACTTTTCAATGGCCATGGGGGACACATCATGCCTCCCACACAATCGCAGTTTGGAGAGATGGGAGGCAAGTTTATGAAAAGTCAGGTAAGAAACATTTATAAATGTTAAAGCAACAAGGGTTAAATCTTGAAGTTTTATTTTAGTGTTACTCTATTTGTTTTCCTAAACAAAATTTAAATATTTGTGAGATGTTTCAAACTGGATGAAATGTGCTTATCCTTAAGACTAGTGAAGTATTAGTAAAATCTTATTGAAAGTTAGGTTAGATTTTTGTTCTTTCCTATTTCATCTTTTACTTTCTCTGGGCAAATTCAATTAAGCTTTTCTTATGACTTGGCTCAACTTTCTGGTACTTAATTCATAATTTTTGGACCCCTTTTTATCTAGACTTTCTTTCTCCCTTTCTGAAATAGGGGCTAAGCCAGCTCTACCATAACCAGAGTCAGGGACTCTTATCCCAGCTGCAAGGACAGTCGAAGGATATGCCACCTCGGTTTTCTAAGAAAGGACAGCTTAATGCAGATGAGGTACATTTGCCTATGTTACTTATTTACTGTAGTTTGTAAACATAGAAGTCTTACTGCCCGATGATTATAAAAAGACGCGTTATTAAGAGGACTTATGCTGGTGTTCTTTATTCTCTTTTCTTTCTTTTCTACACTTCTTTTTCTTTCTTTGGATGTCCAGCGTCCTATGAGCGAAGATTATGAGATATGAGGGCAAGTCTTTTTAAATCTTTAGTTAGAGCAAGGAAAATGGTTGTCGTGGTTTTGCTGTAAAATAGGGTGACAGTAAAGCAATTTTCTAAAATACAGTTAAATTTGTCAGTTTTTATTTCAGTATTTTAGTTAGCAGTCTAGGAGAATTCTGGTACAAAAGTGAGACTTAATGATAGTTTCTAATTCTTGTGTAGAGCTGATCTTTAATTTTCTTGCCAGAAATTAAACCTGGCATGGAGTAAACTTTTTAGTACTTAGAAGAATTTTTCTGTACTAGATTCTTTCATTTTAATATATATTGAGTTAATTTTTATACTTCATGTTAGCCAACTGCATGCTGTTAACTTGGATATTTGCTTTGATATGCTTCCAATTCCAGATTAGCCTGAGGCCTGCTCAATCTTTCCTAATGAATAAAAACCAAGTGCCAAAGCTTCAGCCCCAGATAACTATGATTCCTCCTAGTGCGCAGCCACCACGCACTCAGACACCACCTCTGGGACAGGTACAATCTCTAGTATGACCACATTTTGTACCAGTGCTTTATGACTGTCTAAAGATAAGTTTATTTACTTTTTTTTTTTTCTCCCTCCAATCCAAATGCCTGTCACATCTGATCTTCTAGACACCTCAGCTTGGTCTCAAAACTAATCCACCACTTATCCAGGAAAAGCCTGCCAAGACCAGCAAAAAGCCACCACCATCAAAAGAAGAACTACTTAAGTTAACTGTAGGCTTCCTATAATTCTGTAAACATTCTCTAATCCATGATATGTATTTGGAATAGGGAATACACTGAAGATTTTTGCGTTTTTGTTTTTTTTTTGTTTGTTTTTTTTTAGGAAACTGTTGTGACTGAATATCTGAATAGTGGGAACGCAAATGAAGCTGTCAATGGTGTAAGAGAAATGAGGGCCCCTAAACATTTTCTTCCTGAGATGTTAAGCAAAGTAATCATCCTCTCACTAGATAGAAGTGATGAAGACAAAGAAAAAGCAAGTTCTTTGATCAGTTTACTCAAACAGGAAGGGATAGCCACAAGTGACAACTTCATGCAGGTAGAACACTTTCTTAATTTTGTGTTTTTTTAAAAATTGCTTAATTTTATCTGCCATTCAGATTTGGAAGCTAACTGTGTTGTTTTTCTTCTAAGGCTTTCCTGAATGTATTGGACCAGTGCCCCAAACTGGAGCTTGACATCCCTTTGGTGAAATCTTATTTAGCACAGTTTGCAGCTCGTGCCATCATTTCAGAGCTGGTGAGCATTTCTGAACTAGCTCAACCCCTGGAAAGTGGCACCCATTTTCCTCTCTTCTTACTTTGCCTTCAGCAGTTAGCTAAATTACAAGATCGAGAATGGTTAACAGAACTTTTTCAACAAAGCAAGGTCAATATGCAGAAAATGCTTCCAGGTAAGAATGCGGGGGGGGCGGGGGGAGGTTGTTTTATAATTTCTAATACCATGGGTGGATTTATGTACATCGGTCTTAATTATCCTAAGAAGTGATTTTCAGAAATAGCCTCCACCCACCCAGTACTGCTAATATTCAGGTCTGGGAGGAGGACACCTCTTTTCTGTGTATTACCACAGATAGACCTTATAAAAAGATAATTGTGATTTTGTTTCCTGTTTTTATTTGATCCATGTTAATTTAAATTGCTTTGTTGGGTTTGTTTTTCCTTTGCATTAGTTGTACACATAGAAATTTATTTATAAAGCTGCTTCTATATAAAGGCCAAATGAGTAAAAATAATGTGTCACATGATAGATGGCTTTGTCTCTTTCAGAAATTGATCAAAACAAAGACCGAATGTTGGAGATCTTGGAAGGAAAGGGACTGAGTTTCTTATTCCCACTACTCAAACTAGAGAAGGAACTGTTAAAGCAAATAAAATTGGATCCATCCCCACAAACCATATACAAGTGGATTAAAGATAACATCTCGCCCAAACTTCATGTAGATAAAGGATTTGTGAACATCTTAATGACTAGGTAATACAACACAGCTATATGATTTACATACAGTATAGAGGCTTATTTACTAGGAAAAATAAGGCCGGGGGATTGAGTTATCTTTTTTTTTTTTTTTTTTTTTTTTTAAACTAAACTCACTTGAGGTTCTAATGGGTTTTACTGGTTTTGTCCAGCTTCTTACAGTATATTTCTAGTGAAGTAAACCCACCCAGTGATGAAACAGATTCTTCCTCTGCTCCTTCCAAAGAACAATTAGAGCAGGAAAAACAACTGCTTCTTTCTTTCAAGCCAGTAATGCAGAAATTCCTTCATGATCATGTCGATCTACAAGTCAGTGCTCTGTATGCTCTTCAGGTGCACTGCTACAACAGCAACTTCCCAAAAGGTGAGAGGACCAGTGCCAGTGAATAAGCAAGTATGCAACAGTTCTTAACAGCACACTAACCTGGTCATATTGTGGTTTTTTTAGGCATGTTACTTCGCTTTTTTGTTCACTTTTATGATATGGAAATTATTGAAGAAGAAGCTTTCTTGGCTTGGAAAGAAGATATAACCCAAGAGTTTCCAGGGAAAGGCAAGGCTTTGTTCCAGGTACATTTTACTTTCTGAAGGGAGTTAGTATGTACTGTCCTTGCACTATTGTAAGCTTTGATTAAATAGGCAGTTAGTAGCAGCAAAGCGAGGGAAATTTGTGAAATGAAATCATGCTTTAATCCTAGTGATGGTAGTAGATGGAGGTGATAGAAGACAATTTTGAGAAATATCCCTCCACCTACCCAATACTGTTAACTATTCAGATCTGGGAGGACCACAGTGTCATTCTTGAGCCGCATAAGCTAACTGAACCATGAGCAGTTTGTAAATCCAAATAATATAACCTTTTGTAATTTAAAGCTAATATAAAAGTGCTCTGTAGCATGTTCTAAAGCCTGTTTTCCGTTATAAAATAATGTGGTATACTACCTTGATGTCTTTGAGTGGATTGCTAAAGTATTAATAATCTTGTTGAATTACACATCTAATTTTTAGGTGAATCAGTGGCTAACCTGGCTAGAAACTGCTGAAGAAGAAGAATCGGAGGAAGAAGCTGACTAAAGAACCAGCCAAAGCCTTAAATTGTGCAAAACATACTGTTGCTATGATGTAACTGCATTTGACCTAACCACTGCGAAAATTCATTCCGCTGTAATGTTTTCACAATATTTAAAGCAGAAGCACGTCAGTAGGATTTCCTTCTGCGTAAGGTTTTTTTGTAGTGTAATGTCTTAATCATAGTCTACCATCAAATATTTTAGGAGTATCTTTAATGTTTAGATAGTATATTAGCAGCATGCAATAATTACATCATAAGTTCTCAAGCAGAGGCAGTCTATTGCAAGGACCTTCTTTGCTGCCAGTTATCATAGGCTGTTTTAAGTTAGAAAACTGAATAGCAACACTGAATACTGTAGAAATGCACTTTGCTCAGTAATACTTGAGTTGTTGCAATATTTGATTATCCATTTGGTTGTTACAGAAAAATTCTTAACTGTAATTGATGGTTGTTGCCGTAATAGTATATTGCCTGTATTTCTACCTCTAGTAATGGGCTTTATGTGCTAGATTTTAATATCCTTGAGCCTGGGCAAGTGCACAAGTCTTTTTAAAAGAAACATGGTTTACTTGCACAAAACTGATCAGTTTTGAGAGATCGTTAATGCCCTTGAAGTGGTTTTTGTGGGTGTGAAACAAATGGTGAGAATTTTAATTGGTCCTTCTTATTATAGTATTGAAATTAAGTCTACTTAATTTATCAAGTCATGTTCATGCCCTGATTTTATATACTTGTATCTATCAATAAACATTGTGATACTTGATGTGTGTGGCAAATTGATGGAGGATTACTTTTATTTTGAGACAGGAAGCCTATCCTTATTAGTTTAAAGATTTGAGGAGTGTGCAGTTTGAATTGGATTCCATCTTAATGATGAATTCTCTGAGTCAAGTCATGTGTTAAGTGCTTTGAAGTTGGTTCCAACCCAATCCTGTCTAGGCGACTGGTGGATTTGAACTGTTGACTTTGCAGTTAGCAATCCAGTGCTTATCCTGTGTTACTGTTAAGTGCCATCGGGTAGGTTCCGACCTATAGCAACCCTGTATAGGGTTTCCAAGGCTGTAAATCTTGACGGGAACAGAAAGCCTCATCTTTCTCCCACAGAGCAGCTGGTAGTTTCCAGCTGCTGACCTTAAGGTTCACAGCCTGACTTGTAACCACTAAGCTACCAGAACTCCTTAGTGTGTATTCTATAGTGCTTATTTTTTGTATACTGACATACAAATGTAAATTTGAAAGATGTTACGTTCCATTGAGTCAGTTCTGACTCAAAGTAATCTTACATAGGGTTTCTGAGCGGGTTGGTGAGTTTGAACCACCAACTTTGCAGTTCACATTGATCTTGTGGTTCAGTGCCTATCCTACAGTGCCACACCAGGGCTGCATAACAACAAAACTTGGTGGCCTTTGTTTTTTCTGTGTATTATGAAATACATGGTGATACCTCTATAGGCCAACCTCCCTTATGGCCATAACTATTTTGCAGGCAGCATTCCCATTAGATAACGTTTGGATTTCCAGGAGTATTCTCAATATAGCAGTAACCCTCCTTTGTATAAAAATTTTGAAAAACTGATGAGCATTTGCCCTAACTCCAGCCCTGGAACTTTTTGGCAACTCAAGGCTTACTTGAATAACGTAGGCCTGGGTGGAGTTTCTTGAGAACATAAGCCTTTAGAATCCTAGTTTCTGACTTGATCCCCAAGAGCTTCCTAATTGGTTTTGGAGAGAATCCCAAGGAGAGTTAGTCCATCTGAACCTAATGTTAAGTACTGTCAAGTCGATTCTGACCCATAGCGGCCCTGTATAGGGTGTCCAAGGAGCAGCTAGTGAGCTTGAACTGCCAACCTTGCAGTTCAAACGGCTTTTTAGTCTGGCGCATTAACCCACAGCGTCACATAACAGAAGAGTTCTACCTGTAATTTAATGGTAGGTGAAACCAAGAACCCAAGGAGCTCTGGTAGTATAGTGATTATGCAAATGGGCTGCTAACCTCAAGGTCAGCAGTTCAAAACTACCAGTGGTTCCCTGGGAGAAAGATGAGGTGGTGTGCTCCCATAAAGATTTACAGCCTCGGAAACCCTGTACAGGGTCACTATGAGTTGGAACCAACTCCACAGCACTTAACAAAACCAAGATCCCAGTTCCCTATAGAAGATAGGAGAAGCTAGTAAGTAACCCCTGGAATCTTGGCAGGTAATGGGTTTATAAATATGGATGAAGTAAGGCTAATATTTGTGTAGACTCAATTCTAGGTATTAAAAAAAGAAACTGCAAGATTATACAAAAGAGTTATAGTTTATTACTGGCCTACCTATTCCTAAGTCCCTTCAAGGGAGGAAAAGTAGCCTAAGGTGGTTGAGGAAAGGTGAGGTCTTAGCTACTCCTCGTTCTACACTTGATTCTCCAAGATCCATTAAAGAGTTTTATAACTTAACCTGAAGTATAGTGGTTAGGCAGTCCTTACAGGACAGTATGCTTTCATCCCCCAACACAACAAGGACTCAAATACTAATTGGCCCTATAGCAGAAAATACAACACTGATTTTGTTCCAAAGACACTAAATAGTATTTTATAACCGGTCATACTATAAAATGACAATATTTAGATGCCCTTGCATATACCTCGTTTGAATGCTCTGTAGTGTTTTTCAGTGTCAGCATACAAATACCACAATTGCTGCCCCAAATTTCTAGCAAGAGTTCCAAATGTTTACTTCAACATTTCTTGCCCATTTCCAAATCTCAGACTATACTTCTTGCACATCTACATTGAAACTCAAGATCACTAACTCCAGTACTTTTCCTATAGGATTGGTTATCCAATAGGTGCAATTTGACAAGTTGTGAGTTCTCTTTCAACACCACCCTACTATTCTTTTACTTAATTGACTGTTTCCTCATTACTAATAGCATACTCCTGATCTCTATACAACAGAACGCCTGAACAAACCCTATATCCAATCCATCTGACCAAAACATCTAAAACCTCTCTTATCTAAACACAGTAGTCGTTTAGATTCCCTGTTAAAAGTTGGCTGTCAGAGGGAAGAGAAATATTTTCAAAGTTAAATTATGCCAATTCAAAACCTGCCAGATGGCTCTCCATTTAGATCTGTCTCATGTATAATTAATATTGGCCTGTACTCATTCTGGAGTCCCATGTGGCACTGTGGGCTAATGCATCAGACTGCAAGTCATTTGTACTGTAAGGTTGGTGGTTCAAGCTCATCAGCTGCTCCTTGGAAACCCTATACAGGGTCACTATGGGTCGGAATCGACTTGATAGCACTGACAACATATTCATTCTGATCCAGCCATACTTACTGCCTTACAGTTTGGGAATCTGCCAAATCGCCTCAGAGGCTTTTTGTTCATACCCCACTCCCACAACTGAATGATGTTCACAGGTCTTGGCTCAAATGTCGCAAAGATTTCCCTGTCCTGTTAATGGATTTTTTGCGTGAACTTTTTGGAGCTATCTTACATGTATTTATACCTCCCTCCAAAATGGAGAACATAGTTCTCAGCACCTAGCACAGTGCCTAGGACACAGAAATCTTAAATCATGAGTTAGAAACACAGCATCTGGACCTAGAAGAAGAAGAAGGAAAGGGATTTCCATTTAGTGGTGTGATTGTAAGCAAAAGAATTCATTTCTTGAAAATGAAAGCTAATAAGCTAAAAGGGGTGAACATCAGCTTGTATGTGTGAACAGTTATTGAATCTTCAAAGCTTTTCCAATTGGTACAGTAAAGTGTTTTGCTGATAATTGAAATATTAGTGATTAAAATCCACCGGCCACAGAGAAATGTGGCAGTCTGCTTCTGTAAAGATGACAACCTTGAGAACCCATGAGGTGGGTAGTTCTACTTTGTCCTGTAGAATCACTACAGGAATAAGTTTGGCCCCATAAGGACTGCTTCCATCCACTGAGCTTTCAAGATCAGCCAAATCCATTATGATCTTGGTCTTGATCTATCAAAAGCATTCAACAGTTGACTACCTCTTTGCTATGTTGTTTATCCCAAGTCTTCTTTTAAGGCCTCTTTCAGCCTGGCCCCTGAATTGCTTATCTCCTTCAACCCTGTCACTCAGTCCTATACCTCCGATTACCAAGGAGACTCCTGAGCAGAGTAGAAAGCAGTAGAAATAAAACATTGAAGCCACAGGTTGCGCAGACCCAGAGACCAGCCCCACCCTTTACCACCATGCCCACTCCATGACTTCAATCACCATGTATATTTCAATCCAGGAAGCTGGGATATAACAAAAGTTCTAATGAGAAACCAAACTACTAGGCACAGACAACAATGCAGATCAGGAATTCTGTTTATAGCACTCTGCCTGCCACCCAGTAGACTGGCAAGTAAGATAAAAACCAGTTGCTGTCTAGTTAGTTGATTTCCACTTGTGACAACCCCATGTGTGTTAAGAGTAGAACTGTATTCTGTAGGGTTTCCAATGGCTGGCTTTTTGGAAGTAGATAACCAGGACTTTTTTTTCAAAGCACATCTGAATAGACTTCCATGAGAAAAATTGTGGGTGTTCGCCCAAGAAGGCTAGATTTGTAATGATAACACAACCTTATTCAAAAATGTAGTCTTTGGATAAGCATCATTGAGCTTGTTAGCAATGCAGAGTATCTGGTCCTATTCCAGACCTTCTCAAATCAGAATCCCTAGATTATTTTTAGCATATTAAGTTTGCCAAGCACTGATTAACAACTTAATTGACCCAGACACCCTTGCTGACCACTAGGTTTGTACTTATTTTCCACCCAGGGTGCCCTTGGGCCTTCATCTGAGAAGCAATTACGTTGTTGCTGTTAGGTGCCATCGAGTCGGTACCGACCCATAGCAACTTTTTGCACAGCAGAACAAAACACTGCCCAATCCTGGGCCAACCTCACTGCTGTTGCCACGCTTGAGTCCATTGATGCTGCCACTTGACCAATCCATCTCGTTGGGGATTTTCCTCTTTTTCTCTGACCCTCCACCTTACCAAACATGATATCCTTCTCCAGCAACTGGTCCCTCCTGACAAAGTGTCTGAAGTATGAGAGACCAAGTTTGGCTATCTTGGCCTCTAAGGAGCACTCTGGCTACACTTCTTCCAAAACAGATCTGTTGGCTCATTTGGCAGCACATGGCACTTAATATTCTCCTCCAACACCATACTCAAAGGCATCAGTTCTTCTACGGTCTTCCTTATTCACTGTCCAGCTTTCACACACATATGAGCTTATTGAAATTACTATGGCTTGGCTTAGGCGTACCTTAGTCTTCAAGCTGACATCTTTGCTTTTCAATGCTTTATAAAGGTCTTGTGTAGCGGATTTGCTTAATGCAATATGTCATTTGATCTCTTGACTGCTGCTTCCATGAGTGTTGATAGTTGATCCAAGAAGAATGACGTCCTTGACACCTTCAATCTTTTCTCCATTGACAAGAATGTTGTTTATTGGTCCAGTGGTGAGGATTTTTGTTTTCTTGACATTGAGATGTAATCCATACCAAAGGTTGTGCTCTTTGATCTTCATCAGTAAATGTTTAAAGTCCTCTTCACTTTCAGCAAACAAGGTTGTATCATCTGCATATCGCAGTTTGTTAACAAGTCTTCCTTCAATCCTGATGCCACGTTTTTCTTCATAGAACCCAGCTTCTCGGATTATCTGCTCAGCATACAGGT